CAATACTACAAGAAAAATGAAAGCAGATATCTGTAGTAACATTAAATAAACTAGTCCAGAGAATGCCATCACTGTAATTCAACGTAAAGGTCATCATTTTGATGAAAAGAAAATTTTATTACATGGTATAGTAAAATTAAAATTGATCAGCATTGTGAAATATATTTATTGAAATTTATTCACTAGGACTTTCTTTATTCAAAATATTACCATAAATCCATGATTCATTACCAGTTATGACTCTTTTGAGCATATCAGGATCATCATTGACGTCGTTTAACAGCTCTTGAACGATGCTCCTTCGACGTTTCTTTTGTTCAAAATTAAGTAGTTTCGGAACAAATTTTGCTGCTACACGTTTCATGCCCAAAACTTTGGATAAAATTACATGGCACGAGCCAACAGAGATGACGACGTCTTCAGCCACTTCTCTAATAGTGATTCGACGGTTTTTTAACACCATTTGTTTCACTTCTTTCATCCTTGTATCAGTTATTGAAGTGCTGGGGTGACCAGAGCGAGGTTCTTCGTCGGTGTCTTCTCGGCCATCTTGAAAGAGCTTGTACCACTTGTAAACATTTTTTTGACTTAAAGTAGATTTACCGTATGCCACTGTCAATATTTCGAGTATTTTGGAGTACTTAATTCCATTTTTTACACAAAGTTTTATGCAAACTCTTTGATCCATTGTTTTCGACAGCAGAAAATCGCCAAGCACAGAGAAAACGTCTAAAGTTTCTGTCTCGTAAAAAAAATTAAATATACAAACTGGCTGAAACTGTGAGTATATGTGAAGGACATGCATACCAACATAATACAAAAAATATCGATGATCGAATCGACGTAGCCCGCCCAATCTAAAAATTCTTACTTAATTTTTGAACACACCTCGTACTGTTGATTGAGTTTGTTATCCCTCACTTGAAAAATCTGTTTCTGCCAACTTTGAACTCTTATACAAAAAACCTGATGCAAAATCTCGAGTTGCATTACATATAGAGAATACTCCTATCAATTTTATGGCGACAAGATAAAATCAATTAAAAAGTTATTGACATTTATTATAATCAAATAAGAATTTTTTTTCAAATTTATATTTCAGAGTGACGTTTAAAGCTATCGAATCTGAACTTTATTCATAGCAATTGCAAACTATTTTCACGGTATTGGTATAAAACAATTTTATTGACTTTCCAAAAAGTTATTAAGAAGAGTCGATGAATCGTTAGAAAATCCAAAAGATGGCGCAACAACCATCACAACTTAGTTTAAAACAGCAAGCGTCACTTCTAAATATAGTGCTGTAAAAGTTTCATCCAGATCTATCAAGTGATTCCCTTTTCATCGTCGATCACAGTGAATAACTTTTGCTTATTGTTAATAATGGAAAAAAGTAAGATACAAAGCAGTGATAAAACATTTCTATTGGAAAGGCCTAACAGCGAAATAAATCAAATTTAAGGTAGATGAAGATAATATTGTATCTGCCCCTTTTGTTGCAACTGTTTACAATTAGGCAAATGAATTTAAATGTGGTCATACATCGACTACAGATGATCATCGTTGAGGCTGTTCTGTAGACATGAGTACCCTGGAAATGATTGATAAAATCTACGAGTTGGTGTTAAGTGAAGCACCAGCGGATCCACGGGGGACAAAACTCGGCGCTTTAAAAATGGCGTAGAGGTCCGCGACACTGAATGCGTCTCTCTTTTCTACCCTGTCAAACCGACTTGCTTCTGAGCAAGTGAGTGCCCGTCCATACGAATATACGTACATTGCGCTATTCCTCTCACGGCCGCCTGTAAATTCGCGGGTAACGCGGTCCTTAGGTACGCTCACTAACGTTCAGGTTCAGGCACCCCACTGCGTTTTTCTCCTTTCTATCCATTTTTCCGCCCTCTGGCCCCGTTCGCATCTTTACCCTCATCTTTGTATGCATCTGGTCTGTCAAAGGCAGGTGTGCAAGTACCAAGAGGGGACGGATAGAGAGAAAATTGATAGCAAAGCCGTTTTTCCTGTCACAGTTTGAAAAATTAATTTTTTTTACCATGACGTAATCTTTCGATTAAAAAACTTATTTTTCCATTGTATTACATTGAATTGTAAAGTAGAACGGCACGTTTCAAAAGTATATGACAGCGATAACAACGAGATTCGCTGGCCCTGTGCGCAGCACTCTCCTTGCAGAGATGCAGCGATGAAGCGTGACTTAGGATTCACATGCTTGTGTCATTGTAGGGCTAGAAGAGGGAGTGCTTGAGATTCGTACAAGAGTGCTAACGTCAGAGCTGGCATCTACACCAACAGCTAGCCCCATCGTCAGTGAAGGGTTTCTCCACTTTGTCATTGTTGTGAGGCTGAAATCGGTCTAGCCATTACGGTGAGGTTCCAACGTCGCAATCAATCACTTGCTGACGTCATTCCTCGAGCGCCGTTTCCGGCTGGACTGCGATTTTTCCGACACCAACCCTCCACCTGGAGGCCGCGGTCATCGTCTCTGGTAGATCGTTGCCTGTAGCTGTTTCATTACTCTCTCTTGTACCAGTTCTTGCTCGGACACGGCGTCCAAGACTAAATACCCGCGTTAAATACTTAGAGCCAACTCGCTCACGTGGGTCACTATTTAAGTATCGGTATTACTCGGGTGCGAGTGAGAGCGCTTGCCTACTTCGTGGTAATTAATATAAATCACTTTTGTATTTAATCGTTATTATTTATGTAATTTAATCATTGGCACAATTATAGACTGCCCTTTGTATAATTTTGGTGTCATTCATGTATTGTCATTCCTCTATCTTCTCAGACATCTGCAATCCATTTTTCCTGTGTAAGTCAGCGCTAGCTTCCTTAATCGGAACTGAATCCTCCATTAAAATATTAGTAGAGGTTAGATCTTGGCGCATGTTGCTAACTCTAGCAAATACGAGAAACGTTTAGTTGAGAGGGCCAGCTAGGTTAAAGAAAAATAGTAAAAAATTTTAGTTGGTTTCGTGCAAATTTGTTGAATTTTTCAATTTTATACGCTAAGCTAAAGTTTTTGTCATAAGGTTGGGAGATCCACCTGACATATTGGTCTGACATTTTTTCATAATAATAAGCCTAATACATCAGAATTTTTTAATAAACATGACTATACTTTTAATTATATCATTAAACTTGTGGTTAGTAAGATGTATAACAATATAATACGATATTCTGAACATACATACACTCCCGCCCAATAATCTTTGCCCAACTAAGAACAAAACGACTATAACTTTGAAACTCCATATCTCGGCTGGAAATACACCGACAGAGCTCTGCAGGGGCTCATTTGAAAGGGTTTTTCGAGCACTTTTCAATGGTGTATATTAAAATCATGCTTAGATATTTCCCTTGCAGATAGGGCGGCGAATATCAAAACAAAAATTACGAAATTTTTGCTTTTTCTTTAACCGCTTGCCATTTCGAGAAAAAAAATCGTAGAAAAATTCCAAACATAGCATTTTTTAGCTCTTTTTCTGCACTATTCAAAACACTCGATCAAAAATAATTTTCGTCTAAATTCAGCGATTATATGAGCATTTCATTCAAAAACAGCATCTATATTCATTGCTCTGTATCTTGGAAAATTCTCTATTTTGTAAGTAGAATACGTGAAATAAATTTCATAATCATATGAAAACATTTTTTTTTCAGTCGTAATATCAAGTAGTCTAATTTTTTCAATATTTCACTTTGGAATAATAAAACAGATCATTTATACTCGCAGCTATTCTATTAATTGTAGACAAATTTTAATTGTATGCAAATCTCGATCAACGAAAAATCTAAGTAGAAAAATTAATCTAATCTACCAAAACTGACATAACTAATGATTAGTGAAAAAAATTTTTTTTTAATGTTGTTCTAATCTTCTAAAAAATTGTTTACCATAGTAACATATTATTGAAGTATGGCACCGAGAGATTTTAGTAAACGTTATCAAGTTATTGGATTTCACATAAATGGTAAAAGCAATCGTTTCCGCGGTCTACCAGAGCGCTTCTTGTCTTCAACACTGCCGCTACTTTTAAATTTATTTACATTGTAGTCTACGGTTCGACGAGGAATATTGAGAATACTAGCAATCTGACGATTGCTTTTACCATTTATGTGAAATCCAATAACTTGATAACGTTTACTCAAATCTCTCGGTGCCATACTTCAATAATATGTTACTATGGTAAACAATTTTTTAGAAGATTAGAACAACATTAAAAAAAAATTTTTTTCACTAATCATTAGTTATGTCAGCTTTGGTAGATTAGATTAATTTTTCTACTTAGATTTTTCGTTGATCGAGATTTGCATACAATTAAAATTTGTCTACAATTAATAGAATAGCTTCGAGTATAAATGATCTGTTTTATTATTCCAAAGTGAAATATTGAAAAAATTAGACTACTTGATATTACGACTGAAAAAAAAATGTTTTCATATGATTATGAAATTTCATTCACGTATTCTACTTACAAAATAGAGCATTTTCTTCCAAGAAAATTTTTTTCTACGATTCGAATTTTCCGAGATACAGAGCAATGAATATAGATGCTGTTTTTGAATGAAATGCTCATATAATCGCTGAATTTAGACGAAAATTATTTTTGAATGAGTGTTTTGGATAGTGCAGAAAAAGAGCTAAAAAATTCTATGTTTAGAATTTTTCTACGATTTTTTTTCTCGAAATAGCAAGCGGTTAAAGAAAAAGCAAAAATTTCGTAATTTTTGTTTTGATATTCGCCGCCCTATCTGCAAGGGAAATATCTAAGCATGATTTTAATATACACCATTGAAAAGTGCTCGAAAAACCCTTTCAAATGAGCCCCCGCAGAGCTCTGTAGGTGTATTTCCAGCCGAGATATGGAGTTTCAAAGTTATAGTCGTTTTGTTCTCAGGTGGGCAAAGATTATTGGGCGGGAGTGTACATATATATATATATATATATATATAATATTTATATATTTTTTTTATTACAGGAACTTTTGATAGATTTTTTGATACTGTTATAATGAATCCACCATTTGGTACAAAACATAATGCTGGTAGTGACATGAAATTTCTAGAAATAGCTTCAAAATTATCACAAGGTGTCATCTATTCACTTCATAAAACCAGTACTCGTAGACATATTATTCGAAAAAGTGCACAACTTGGAATGGAATGTGATGTATTAGCAGAACTAAAGTTTGATATACCACTTATTTATAAATTTCATAAAAAAAAATCTACAAATGTAGCAGTAGATTTCATAAGATTTTGTCATAAATGATAAATCTACGTATTTTAAATTAATTCAGGTAAATATAATGCCCTGAGCAAGAGGTACATTTTTGCCAAAATTTACAGTAATGGTGGATCTTCTCATATAATTTTTCCACGCATCACTTCCACTTTCTCGTCCTCCTCCACTTGATTTGTCCCCTCCAAATGCACCACCTATTTCAGCACCACTCGTTCCTATGTTGAGATTAATGATACCACAATCTGATCCTGTCGGACCAATCCACTGAAATAAAATTCAATTTTTAGAATATAAAAATAAAGGAAGGATGATTATAAGAAAAGTTAGATGTTTGGATGCCCGATGTTCATAAGGTTCCAAAACAACTGCTATTTGAAAATTGTACCGTTACTAAGAATGTCTAATTTCTTCAAATTCAAGTGACAATAAAGGTCTACTAAATTTTTGTGATTTATTATACAAGAAGATAATTTCATTAATGTAAATATTCAAAATCAAAATTTGTATGTAATTTATAATTAATATAAGAGAATAAATTCAATAATTTAATACACAAGTAAATCACTTCATTACTGTAAATGTTCAAAATAAAAATTGGTGTATAAGTCACACAAATAAAATAGTTTTTTATTGATAAATTGCTTTTAGCTATTAACTGACTACATAAAACTTATATTCAATTATTTATATGCATTAGAAAATATATACTGAGTTTTTTATATGTACTAATTGTTATATACAGTGCCTGTCCAATGCCATAGAAATTTAGGAAATCTTGAAACTATCTCAAAGTATCTTTGAAAACTACTGTAAAAAGGAATGCAATAAATAAATAAATATACCTTGTATAAGAACTAAAGAATGTATTATGACTACGAACGGCTCGCAAATCTTAGTTATATAAAATTCATGTCGTAAATACCATTTCCATAATAATTTAGTTACTTAAATAATTATTAATTACTCGAAGCGGCTACTAATTTTATCTTTGATTTAAAAATTCATCATAGAATTTCTAGGAGTTTGATAATATGTTTTCTCGGTATATAATAAATATTGTAAAAAAAGATTACAACTTTTAAATCGTTAATTTTATGATAAGGTTGAGACTATAAAACATCATACTTTTTCATAATCACCTATACATTTGTATAAGTTATTATTAAACTAACTTTGAAGAAATTTTGAATATCACGTGTAAACAAAGAACTGCTCAAGCCTTGATCTACACAATTATTTAAAGTAATGCCTTCTTCTAATGAATCAATTTCAAATTTATACACAATTGGTGCGAATGTTTCTTTTTTTACAATAGGCAAATTTGGCTCTAATCCACTTATAATGGTAGGTTCAACATAATAACCTGGCCGTTGTATACGTTTTCCTCCAAATTCTAATTTTCCGCCATTTTCTAAAGATGATTCTACTGCAGCCTGTAATACAGAAATTATACAAATATATATTTATTATATTTATTCATGTACTATTTATCTATTTATTACAGTGAAATGAATCACGGCTTCGTACCGGGAGGCTTACAATAATAAATTCAATTGAGAATATATAGAAATCATTGAATAAAAATGGAATAATTTTCATAGTTTGAAAGAATATTCATCTATCTGACTTATGAAGCATTTAGAATGTATTGTAACAACTCACACACACATACATTCGTAATCACACAAAAAATATAGCACTTATTAGAAAAAAGAGATAACGTGTTTATTTAACCTAAACATAAAAATCAGGGTTAAACGTATTTATTATATTATGTCTTGACTATCTAAAGAAAAGTCAAGAAAACGAACAAATAACTATCGCCTAACAACGGTTTTGTTCTTGAACTCAACAGGTCAACTCATAAAATTATTCACCCTTTTTTCAGACTGTTGTCCTGACAATCTTAAAAAAAGACGACAAGGCTTCTCTTTCAATCAGTCTGATGTCAGGGTCATCCGACCAAAAGAGCCTGTCTTTTGAAAAAAAAAAAGAATTCTCTTCTATTGAACCAAATAAGATAATAAGCGGGTTGATTCTTGACTCATCCGGCCATAGGATCCGTCTCTTAAAAAGGCATTTTGTAAAATCACCATGTCTTCACTGGTGGGTTATTGTCATCTATGGATTGTCATGTACCGCTGTCTGCAGCAAGGATGACAGGTAAAAGGTTTTGGCGATGGCTAGTCAATCAAATAAATCGACATTTACTTTACTATCGCCTCACGTTTTTCTATTGACCTCACTATCTATTTACTAATCCCAGTAGTATAGAACTTTTGCATATAATTTATTTCGTCTTCATCTCTGCTACGTACTTTTGCACTCTTTGTCAGTTGCGTGGAGCATATGCGTACTAGCAAAGTATATCACAGGAGCGGATCGAGGCCGTGGTGATTAGCCTCGCACCGTGAGTCGAAATAAAAGATTTTTAACAGCGATAAATAAACTGTATATTTATCAAACGTTACAATTTTAGAAATACGCAATAGTAGTAGGAGCTAAGAGGATCCTCAGCCCCTTACCATGCGATTTTTCGATGCCTACTCTACCGACGATCAGTAACGTTATAAATCCTCATATTGGCGATCTATGAGCTGCTTTATCGACCGATGTATATCGACCTGCTTGACGGGAATCGTTTGCGACCGACTGTGTACCAACGTGCAGACCCCATGGGCCCCGCCGGCAATTACCGACTCTTGTATCGACGTGCAGATCCCATGCCCCCCGCCGGCAGTTACCGACTCTTGTATCGACGTGCAGATCCCATGCCCCCCGCCGGCAGTTACCGACTCTTGTATCGACGTGCGTGCCCCCGGCCCCATGCCCCATACCCCTTGTTCCATGCCAAAATAAAAAATGTTTGCTTTATGCTGATTGATTGTGATTGAGTAGAAAGTGTAGGTCTGTGTAAGTATAAAAGTTATTTTATTATCAACTTTCGGGGTTAGGTTTATTAAATAAACAGAGATATAATTTACATGAAAAAAAAAATCTATTTATTATCATAAATTATAAACAACTAAACAATTATTGAGGTTGAGCGTGATGATTATATGCTTACATATATTATACATGTACTTATGATTATTTGTTTTTTTCTTTCCGTTGTCAAACTGTTGATTTGCAGAAGACGAAAGTAGTTCACGTTTGGATAGCGGTCCATATTATTTGAATGTTTGGTGCTGAATAATCTGATGATGCTCAAACTGCGCTACTTATAATAGCTGACAACTGCATTTGTCATAAATTCCAAAGAGTAAGAAGAATAGTTACGTTCAAATTTTCCCATCATAGTCATCAGAGGATCTTGTACTTTTTCTTCAAACCATTTCTGATAGGTTTGAGTTGAGTAAAGAGGAATAGTTTCCACTTTGAACAGCTTGACTTTTATTTTGTTTGGAGATTGATTGCTAATTTGTTCTTCATACACAGCTGTAAAAACAATGTCTACTTCCCTTAGAAATGCCTTTTTGACCAAATTAAATACCGTGGCTTGAACACATTCAGCCACATATTTGAAAAAAACCTTGTTTATTGAATAACGAATATTCGTCAATTTTTATGTAGCTAACCTACTTTGAATAGCACTTGGAATATCATCTAGTTTAAAATCATGAATATAACCATTTCCATGACCAATTGTCTTCTGGTATTCTTTCATATACCAAAGAGCTTCCAACAAGGCTATGGAGTATTCAATTTTTCTGCAATCTTTCTCCGAATATTCATAATAATAAGCATCTGTTATCAATTTTATCGTGATCGTAGGATCTGTACCATCAAACATAGAAATAATATGCGCATTCAAGCTGGCTAATACCTTAGCTTGAATGAAATCAATAAATGGTGTCATGATTGAGCTGGTGCTGCTACAGAAGGCGAACGAGCCGTGGTGCAGATACAAAAAGTGAATGAGGTGTGGTTCATGAGCCAAGCTTCTTTATACAAGCTGCAAGCATTTCATGGTGGGGGTAACTGATTTTGCTTCAACTTGTCAATGTCTGAATATAGTACCCCTAGAAATTTCATATCAAGTTCCTCTCGATGAATATCGATCAATAAACTCATTTCTTTTAATTTAGCTTTTAACTTTAATATAGTATCTTTAATATTTTTTAGTTCGACTAACAGATTCTCATGTAAATTTTTCAAGTTTAATTCGTCAGCTCTACCAAGTTTGCGTCCAAACACATCAATGCTCATCGTTGAAATGAATGAAAAAGACTGAAGTATTTATTCGACTTGGGTTTTATTTATGCAATATTCTGTTACATTGATAAAAACTTTATGGTTTTACAAATTCAAGTAAATATCAGCCAAGATATCTCAATCCAAGTGCTTTTTTCTCAAGTTCTTCAATAAGAGTTACGTATTTAGAAAAAGTATACATAGCTATTATACGAGTTATACAAGTTTGGTTACATGACCACTTATAGGATTATACTTAACTATACGATCGTGTAAAATCAAACAATATGCAGCTGTTTCCGCGGGCACATCATTTTTGGTTTCAAATTCAAGACGTACATCGACAGCAGCTTGTTTCAAAGATTCATTTTGCTTTGAACAATCTATCACTATTAACGGTGCATGTGTGATAAATTGTTTTCGATCTAGAAGTGGATTGAACATACAGTCTCTATTGTAATAGTTCAATTGGAATTGAGCATACGATAAGACGCAGTATTGATTGTTACTTATATCAAGATTCAAATTTCTATATGGATATTGCTGAGAATTCAGAAAAAGTTTAACATTGGTTATGACACAATGATCAAATCTGCTAGAATTTTTAGTTTTATCAGACTTGCGTTTTATTTGAAAACCTAATATAATATATCTTGGTTTTTCCAATTGATTGGATGTTTTTACAGTCCAAAAATGTTTTGATGTTTGTGGTAATGCTGGATAGTCATAAAGTTCCCACGACCGAAAACTCATAGAAATAGGTGCATCTTTCTGAATGAAATTGAACAACTGTATTTTACGCCTATCAGACATAATTACATACGGCATTAACCATTCAATTCTTGTGAGTTCTATTTTAAGAGGCTCATATGTATCAAAATTATCAATTTTGACAGTATTTTGCATGACTGCGTTTAAATTATCTCTTGATCGAGTAAGAATAAGTTCATGCTTTACATTCACAACAATATGCGAATTTCATCGCTATTATTGAATGTTTGTGAATTATAAGGTTGATATGCATGAACTTCATAGTGAGCTATGGATTCATCAAAAATGACAGGTGCTTGTACACTAAGTATTTCTTCCATCTTTGAGATGACAAAAACACGCAAATATACAAGTTAGTTTTTCAAATTTTTCATGTTTCTTCTTTTTATTACGGCGCTTCCGACGACGTTCAGACCGAGATTTTTCAGGAACTGAATGTTGCGACGTGTTAGACTTTTGGCTATCCGTCGATGACTGACTTTCTGAGCGCATGATGGAGTTGTTCTATAGCCGTTGCCTACTTTATGATTATAAACTATTCCCGTCATAAAACTCTTTTTATGTGTAAACGGATCGTGATTGTTTCACCACGAAAGTTTATTAAATTTCCATCTTGATCAATTAGACGTAGCTGTAAATGATCGATAACTTTGACAGTTACAGGCAAATATATGATCTGTTTAGGAACTTCAATGATTTTATATCCTCGTGATACATCTGGAAAGAATTCGTGAATAATATGTACCTTATTTTGATTGACATATGCTCCAGATGTTATGTTACATTCGACGCGTAGCGCGTTCACTTTGAGAATGGCAACAGGCATGTCAGTGACATTATTTATATCTACGGGCAACAACCGTTTGGTGAAACCTAACAAACGTTCAATAGAGTTATTTGATTGAAAATCGATTGGTTCACTACAAATTATTTCACTGCATAAAGTATTGTTGTTGGGCTTTATTTCAAGTTTTATCCCTGTTGACTTCAAGTAACCTTTCAAATATTTATCTATGTCACCAATTTCATAACTGCCTGTTGGTAGTTCAATTTCAATGTTACCAACTTTGAACTTATTGTGTCCAACATCAACATTTGGTATCGAATTGAATGTAAGTAATTCTACCAAACCAAGAACATAAGTTTTATCTCTATCCAGTTCTATCGGTGGAAAATAATATGTTTTTAGTATAGATGATCTACCAGACAAACTGAGGGCTAATGATTCAACCATGTTGAGTGATCGTTCAAAACTGAATTATTTATTCACAATTCTCAGTAATTATACAAATGGTAATTGACATGATGCTCTAGCAAATCACATAAAAATTTCAAACATAAATGTCCACAAGTATAAGTATTATAATTTTGATATTTTTTATAATTGTATTTGATTTGATCAACTTTGAAATATTTCATAAGATCTAGAGGTGGTCTTATATCACCAAAACTATCAAAGTAATAAACA